AAGTTACTTTAGTCAGTGAAGGTCTCAGATACTAAAATTAAACGATCAAAGTTGAATATTGATAGTCATATATCATGTTTTTATATATGAAAATAGAAATTTGCCTTATTCCATATAAGATTGTGGGACGACCCCTTCTATAGAATATAAAGTAGGGAAACTTTACTGTTGTTGTATAGGGCATTGGTGAGACTAAATCTGAAGAAGTGTACAGCTTTGATTTCTGTATTTGTAAAAAGATAAAATTACTTTAGAAGCAGTTCACAGAATGTTCACACAATTCAGTCCAGGAATGAAGGACTTTTATTGTGAAGAAAGGTTGAATAGCTGAGGCCTATACTATTGGAGTTTTAGAAAACTAAGAGATTATCTTATTGAAACATATAAGATCTTGAAGGAACTCTATGTGGTGGACACTTAGAGGATACTTCCTCTTGTGGGAGACCCTAAAACTAAGGGTTTTAGTTTAAGAATAAGAGGTTTCCCTTTTATGACACATGGGAATTTTCTTTTCTCCAGGCTGTAGAAGTGTGGAATTCTCTTCCCCCGAAAAAAGTAGAAACTGGATTTTGACATCTATTGAAAGCTGAGTTATATGTATTTTTCATAGAGGGTTAAGGGATTTGTGGTGCAGATGCAAAAATGGAGCATAGACCACACTAGATCAGCCATAATCTTATTGAATAGTGGAATAGTCTCGAAGGGTCAAATAACCTGCCCTGCTCCTACATTTTATGTTCCTATGTTTGAGTTGAATTTTTCAAGTATCCTGACAGACTCTGAAACAGCTGCTGATTTTCAAATCTAGTTCATTAAAAAACAGAACTAAGCACAAAAGCAGAGGTAAACTGGAGAATGTCCTGCCTCTGTAAAGACAAAGAGGAAGACAAAAATCACATTCTTATTTAATCCCTTTTCGCAATGGCAAACTCTTAAAGAAAAATGCATTCTATTTGTGGAGAAAATGGTTTGCTGGATCCATGATTATTAATGATTCTTCAAAGATATTTAATTAGATGAAGAAAACCCTCGGCTCATTTAAAAGGAACCTGGATCTGCACGGAGAGCTGTGACCTGCAAAGCTGCAGGCCAGGTGCTGAGAAGCGGGATTAGAACAAGTGGCTAGTTTATCCAGCGAGCGAAGACACACTTGACTGGCCTCTTTCTGTGTCATAACTTTATCTATGATTTCTGTGATCCTAAGAACAAGGCAATACCTAAAATGGTGAAAAGGTACAGGCGAGAAAAAGAAGAATTGATAAATGAAGTGTTGATGGATTATGTCTAAAATGAAACCCATTTGCTGGAGAAGTGCCAGGGGCTTCTAAATAGTTGAATAAATTTTTAAAAATTCTCAAAATCTGAATCTAAAACCTGTGAACTATGTTCTGCCCAAGGTTCTACATGCAAAATATCAACCTCACTCTCTCATTAGACACCCATAGATTCTCAATCATTCTTGGCCTGCCTTTCTGCTTTAAATATCAAGAGACCTGTGTATATTTCCAAAATTTTCTTTTGTTGTGTTTCTTAACTCTCACAGCCAGCATTCTTGGAAGGGCAATTGAAAATGCTACAAAGACACTCTGGATCTTTCCTTGAAGCAGGACAGCATTGACCAGGTGAAGCCTGTAAGCAATTGTTCAAAATGGCAACAACTTGTCCATCAGCTGCATCAGGCTTTCTGTCCAAACCTTAATGATGAGACTGAGTGGCGGCAGAGAAGGAAAGTAAATTAAGCTGCTCCTGCACTCCAGATTCCACAATCATGTAGGAAGACTTGCCCCATGTGCCTAAAAATGAGGGTCAAAAATCAGCCTATTCAGTTGCATGAAGACATTGAAAAAAATATACTTTATAAAATTTAAACTCATGGTTATGTACGCTTCTGTTACAAACTCTTAAGGCCATTTAAAATGGAAATTTCCGATGTAAACTTAAGTCACAGCAGGGTTACCAGCCGTGGTGCTATGGCTTTGTTATGTCTACCAGTCTCACAGCCTCTCAACCTGTAATGCAAAGAAACATTGTGCTTCAATCCATTCTTGGCCTCTGCTGCCAAGAGGGATCAAAGATATGTTTTAAGAGGGTGATTGAATTACATATGAAAGTGTAGTTTAATTATGTCCCATCTCATCTGAAGGCTATACTTGGTATTCAATCTCCGTAAATGCTATAACTGAATATTGACTAGTACATAAATAATATATACATAAATATATACATAATATACATAAATCTGTATAATTACATTTGAAATAACTAAGCTAGTTGTCTGTAATAAGAATAAAACTGTTGATGCCGAAAATCTGAAACCAAAACACAAACTGCTGGAGAAACTCGGCAGGTCTGGCAGCATCTGTAGAGAGAAAGTGGGGTTAATGCTTCAAGCCCAATGACTTTTCTGTTTTGCTGTCTGTAGAAGTAGGTTGAGTTGAGGAGAGTTATTGAGATTTAATCAAGTCAGAAGTTCTCCACGCATTTAAATTTCAACAGTAGCAGTGTTAAACCTTTTTGCCTTTGCTTGCGAAAGTAATACAAAGCTTTTGCCTAAACCATTTATTTAGTCTTGTCAGGTATAAGACATACCACAGTGGTTTTCTGTTCTTTACTAAAAGACGATTTAAATCTTGCTTCTCAAAGAGAAGTCATATCAGACTCAAAACATTATCTTTTTCTTTTTCCACAACGTAGCCAGACTGGCTGAATTTGTGCAGCTCTTATGGGCGGCGCAGTGGTTAGCATCGCTGCCTCACAGCACTGGTGACCCAGGTTCAATTCCACCTTCAGGCAACTGTGCAAACTCCACACAGACATTCTCCCCATGTCTGTGTGGGTTTCTGCTGGGTGCTCCGGTTTCCTCCCACAGTCCAAAGATGTGCAGGTTAGGTTCATTGGCCATGCTAAATTACCCACGGTGTTCAGGGATGTGTAGGTTAGGTGCATTAGCCATGGGAAATGCAGGGTTACAGGGATAGGGTAGGGGGATGGGTCTGGATGGGATACACTTCGGAGGGTTGGTGTGGACTCTTTGGGCCGAATGGCCGAATATTTCTACACTGCGGAGATTCTATGGAGCTCTTTCTTTGTCTGTTTGAAATTTTGTCTTTTCCACTGCCAGACCATGTCACAGCCCTCCCATTGAAATTGAGCACTCTTAACTTGGAGCAGTAGGGTGTTTGATTTCATTTGTGCACAAACCTTTGGATCAAAACACAATGCATTCTGTCCCTTTTTTGAAATTCCATATCCTTGATGGCTGCAGTGCAGTTATTGTTAGTTATAAATATTAAATCATTTTAATTGTAAACCCTTTGCTTCTCATCTCATCCAAAATATCAATATTAAAAAGGTCAATCAAATGTAGCTTTGACTTCAAGGTGGAAACCTTCAAAAGATGTCAGAAATATTCAAAGTATTTTTAAGCTTGGATGATATAGAAGGAGCCAACAGTTTATTGTTTTCACTTCACATTGGAAGAGATCAAACCTACAACTTATTCAGTGAGGAACAGAGTTGGCAGGTAAAGGAGTATACTTTTGTTGCTGACAAGAATTCCTTTGATATTGCTGTCTTTATTTGGGAAACAGTAATTCACTGTGACCACATATGCAACATCTCATTAAGAGTTTGAAATTTCATCTTTTGAAAACTGGAACAAGATAAATATCAGCTCCAGATTCTACATTGTTATTATCCGATTTGTGATTTGAAACTGAATTCCCAATACTGTTTTGTGCCCTTTTGGAATCAAACCCAATCTTTAAGAGATACCAAGGTGTAGAGCTGGATGAACACAGCAGGCCAAGCAGCATCAGAGGAGCAGGAAAGCTGAAGTTTCGGGTCTAGA